ATGTGGTACAGGACCGAGTATCACTGCAGATAGCTCTGTCGACATTTTATCACCATCAGATAACTGCGTGTGTCACTGATACCAACTTTGTGGTTCTGTAGCTCCTGGAAAACACAGAACAGCTCTTCAAGTGCCTGACATCTCGTCATCGAAGGCTTTGATGCGTGAAATGTCTGAAAATACTGTTTCAGGATGTGGTAGAATATTGTAGATTTGAAGATGTCTGCTAATTAGTGTTCAAACAAATAATAAGGCATGCTGTCTCAGTCTCCATCTGTTTGTAGGCTGGAAGCTCTTCAGGACAGGCTGTGTGTTTACCTTGAAAGCGGGTACTGTATTTTCAGTATTGCAGAATGAGAAACCATCATCAGTAATGAAATAACTTCACATATTGAAAACGGAGAAAGTCTCGAGTTAAATTTGAGAGCTGTTCCTTCCATTTGTCAGTCTTGAAATTCCAGATGTATTTCAGCACCAGATACTCGGGTTTCTTAACTGGGGATGAAGCAATTCTGAACGTTTCTCTTTAGCAAGCTGTGTTTATGTACAGCCTCTTTAAAGAACTACTTTATTGTGTTCAAGGTACGTTATGGTGGAGGCTTTTCTAAATAGCTTGCTTAGTTTTAATCAGTTTTGATCCATCTCCATGTCAGTAAAATCAAGTGTGTGCTCAGGTGCTTATATGCTTATATCTTCAAAATACGAAGGTTTTGGAGCTGGGGTCTGCAGTCACAGGGGTTTTTCCCTATATTAGCAAATGATGCAGTGGAAGAGGGACAGATGAAGTGGGTGAGATGTCTGGTGCTGAGAGCAGTGTTATTTGCAGCTCTGGGCTTTGACGTTTCAGCAGCTCTCATCTGCTCCTGTGGCCTGAATGCCCATTAGTGGTTGGTATGTGATGCCATGCCAGTTTGACTTACATTCCTGTCTCACATGATGCAATTGCTTAAGCATTTTTAATTAGGAATAGCAGTGAATCAGGAGGAAAACAAGGTTTCTTGCAAATGAGGCATCCATAAATCAAGGATAAACAAAGCTGCCTTTGGTATGTGGAGGACATTTTTTTCCTATGACAGTGTTTCAAGCCAGGGAGTGAGTGTCTGAAAATTAATGATGCAGATGTAATAGATGAATATTAAGTGACAGGAGCTTACAATAAAATTATAAATAAGAAAAGTGTCACGTTGTTCATAGTACTGACTTCTCTGGGCTTCCGGCAGTGGGAAGCTATAGAATAATGATGTTAATTTTAAGACCTTATTAAAATATGTGATTAAATATACAGATTGAGCAACAATTTAATTGTTGGGTTGTTTAAAATCTTAATGGTTATACCTTTGGTAGTATGTCCTTTGACATTGTTTTTACTGTATTGTAAATAGAGCTTAATTTACGTAAGTTTCATGTTCCCTCATGCTTTCACTATTTGTATTAGTTGAAATCCTTAATGGGATTATTTTTCCTACTCTCTGTTTGGAAGCACCAGAGTGCAAGGATGTTTTCTTTTGAATCTCTCCACATATGACATCAAGAGGACTTGGTGTTTAGGGATGCATTTACAGTTGGAGAAGCTGCTGTGATGGTTTGTAAGCAGAGGTGCTGATGGCCAGCTGAAATGGGCTTGTTGGGTTGGACCTGTCCAGGGAGCAAACCTGGCACCACGAATTGACTTCCATGGTCATGGTCTTATGGGAGTGTGGTGGTCTGCTGAAGAGCTGGGGTGGTAAGACTGAGGAGTGACAGCTTCTGCAGGCGACACCGTGTGTTCGTGGTGCTACAGTAGAGGATGTGGCACAGGCCATCCCTGGCAGTGCTCAAGGCCAGGTTGGACACAGGGGCTTGGAGCAACCTGCTCTAGTGGAAGGTGTCCCTGCCCGTGGGGAGGGGGTTAGAACTGGGTGAGCTTTGAGGTCCCTTCCGCTTCAAACCATTCTGTGGTTCTGTGAAGCTTCAGATTATTCCAGCAGTGCAGTTACTGGTGTAATCCAGTTAGGATAAAGTACTACAGTTAACAGGAGCACGGCAGTTTAAACTCTCAAGTTCTGATTGTGCTAATGGTCTACTGGAAAACCTGTAAGTGACATGATTGCCATGGAGTCACAAACAGCAACTGAGATTTTCTCACCCCATGCTACAGCAGGCCAGAGCAGCACAAGTTTCACACAGAAACTGGCATTTTCACACATCTACAGTGAGCAACTCGGAGCTAACATTTTCATTCCTACTTTCATGTTTTTCCACACAGCATGTGATGCAGGCATGAGAGTCTTGTGTATCTGCAATACACCAGAAAGAATGGCCAAACTACTCCCACTAGTACAACAAAGTTAATTTAGTTCAGCAATGTCACTTTTCATTTAAGCTCTAACTTTGAGGTGAAATGAAATTCCACTTTATGATTTCTCCAGCAAAACCAAAGTGAAGATAACTTTGCTAAGGTATCATTTGCAACTGCGAAAACCCCTCAAACTGTTCTAATTCTCTTCCATACAATAGAACACTAAAGACAGTAGATTTATTCCGGCCCCCCCCAAAAAAAAAACCCCAAAATTCTAAAGGAATTATGTAAAACTGGAAGTCTCAGGTTTTGCAGCATTTCATAACAGAAATAATCATTGTTTTATCACAAAGTAGGTGACTGATTGCTGTATCCCCAGTAGTTAGGAAAGAGCTACGATTTCCTGCTGGAGGTCATTCAAGCACAGTATTTTTCTCATATAACAACAATTTATCAAACTAGTGGAGGTTGAGGGAGGGCTGCTTTCTTTTGGTTTGTTTTACATAAACACATCCCTGGAATTCAGCTACTGTCAAGCTCCCTCCTGCTTGTGTTGCAACACTTGCTGATGGTAATGGCAGTAAACAGGAATGTGCCAGGAAAAGCACACCGGCTGCTTGTAGCAAAGGTCAGGCTCTTGGCACTCTCATTTCTGGTCCATCAAGCACTTTGCAACAGCCAAACGCTCAGAAAAGGATTAGGTTCCAAAGAGAAAACCCACCCTTCTATGGCTAAAGAATAAACTACTCATATTTACAAGTCAATAGGTCAAGTTTAATTATTTCCTGGTGCGCATCATGGGATGTTTTATCGATTCTACCACAACAGAGCCTCCCTGAAAAGAGGAGGTGTCATGTGGGTTTTCCTCAGCCATAGGCACCGCTGCGCTTTAAAACCACCACGTTTTAACATTCTTCTTCATTAACATTCCCAATGTCTTTTAGAAAGTTGGGGTTTAATTTCTTAATGACATATTCCGTATTTTTCTCTAGAATACGCCCAAACCTAAACCAAAGAAGAGCACTCTGAAAAGTACATCCTGGCCTTGAACACTGCCAGGGATGGGGCAGCCACAGCTTCTCTGGGCACCCTGTGCCAGCGCCTCAGCACCCTCACAGGGAAGAGCTTCTGCCCCAGAGCTCATCTCAGTCTCCCCTCTGGCAGGTTAAAGCCATTCCCCTTGTCCTGTCCCTACATCCCTTGTCCAAAGCCCCTCTCCAGGTTTCCTGTAGCCCCTTCAGGCACTGGGAGCTGCTCTAAGGTCTCCCCAGGCCCTTCTTCACTTGCACAACTTCACAGTTCAGTTGCTTAAGTTCCTTTCCCAAATATGCACGTACCCTACAGAAGCTGTTTTATGCGCCCCTATCATGTAGGTTTTAAATCCTGAGTCTTCTCACTGTTTCCTACAGAGTGGTTGTGTTTCAGTGGATATTTGCTGTCGAGAGGACCACGTGTGTAGCTCAAACGTTTTGTGTGCTGAAGTTTCAGATGTACTTTCCAAACAGAACCTTAGTGAAAACAGATGGAGCTGACCCACTTTTTGAGGATTTGGCTCCACACTTGTCTCAACCTCCTTCTAATTCACACATTAATCTCTGCTTTGAGTTAACTGATTATGCAGTTACTTCACCTGCTAATACGTGTTAAAACATGATTGCTGCTGACAGCCTGAATTTGTAACACAGCAGCTACAACTGCTGAACTGCTAATCCAGCCACGATGCTGTTAATCAAGGAGGTTTTCTTTCTTTGGCATCTGTATGGGATCACTATTGCTCAGTGAGTGGGGTGGGTCGAGCACACCTATCTCCAGCTAACAGCTCTGGAGTGAAGGCAGACTTACTTCCTATGAGAAGCCAGGTATTTCCCATTCCAGGTGCTGCTGCAGTCACAAATGAGGTGCTTTAAGAGATTATTGGGCTGTAACACCCCCCCAGCAGTGTGTTTTTTACTGGTGGTTCCAGCACTGTCAGATTTACTTCAATAATACCATGTCCAGAGTAGATTCCTTTAAAGTCACCTCTGGTCTTGGGCGTCTTGAAGGTTGATCCGTGTAGTTGATCAGCTGAAGCCCATCACATTGCTTTTAGCCTCTTTCCTTAGTCACTGTGTTAACTCTGCCTGTCACATTTTGTTGCATTTGTGGTTTTTTCATGTTTCTTAAACAGAACCATCACAGTGATAGGTTCCTTGTGATGGCACAAGCAGCAGTGTAAAGGCAGAGGGCACAAGTTAATGCTTTGTTTTGGGGAAGAGGTTCTCTGTCCTCCTGTATGGAAGGATGGAGAGTTGAGGGAGTGCTCATTAACAATGCTGCGTGCAAAGAAGTACTTCAGAGTTCTCAGAATTTATGTATATTTGTTTCTACTAAGCCTGTGTAATGCTTAATTAAAATTTACTAATGTTTTCTTGTCGACGCTGGAACGCATTGTGAGTGGTTTTGAGTATCTGCAAGTAATAATGATTTTACAAAAGAACATTCTTTATATTCAGGCTTTACGTAGCAGGCAAGATGAAAGGTGCTGAGTAAATGAAAAAGGGTATGATAATGGTACTGTCTGGTCACAGTATTTCACACAATAGTTTTTCATCAGTTTTTCTTTGTCCTTTGTTTTTAAGGATATTGCAACATGAATCAGTGCCAAGTATTTTTATTACTGAAAAGGTAAAATAGGCTGTTGATCTCACTCTTTTTCGTTTGCTTTTTTTCCACCCCACTCTAGTTTTGGCAAGCAGTCTGGAGGAAAGCGAGGATGCGAATGTATCATATTGGAGCCTTCAGAAATGATTGTGGTAAGACAGATATGTTTTTTTCAAATGTATTTAAATCTATTGCTGCTTTCAGCAAATTCTTTCTGCGTTATAGCAGAAAGCTTATTGTAAAGTATTCTATAAAATTGCAGCAGAATTGCCTTGATTTCAATTATACCTATGGCTGCTATCGTAACAGCAATAGCTATGTAAATTTAATCTAGATGGGTAAATGATGATGATGATTAGGTCATTCTTTCTGAAATTATGCTTACTTGAGTTTCAAAAGCCTATCAGTTATGGCTGAATTGAGCATTCTGGAGTCAGGCAATGATAGACGTATATCTGGAATATTTTATTTGTACCCACAGCCCCTGTTTCATTGCTTTTTACTGGCTGTGCTGGGTCTGGCAGGGACGGAAAGGCCCTCTTACTCCTAGTCCTTGTAGTTCCACAGAGTGTGAAGGCTTTTAGGTAAGAGGAGTGAGAACAGAAGAGTGCTTAGCCAAGCTTGAAGGATAAGGTTTTCAGCTTAGTTGTCATCAACCTTTTCCATGTCCAGGTTTCCTTCTGCTTCTTCACAACGCTTCCTAATACTACCAAGTTCATATGTGCTTACAGCTTGTATCTCAGCCCTTCCCAGGTTGAGGTACATGTGCTGTCAGCAGCTGGAAGAGTAGGATTGCTGTTCTGTAGTGCAGACTGACCTTGTCCTCTGTGCTGGGTAACACAGGAAGCTCTCCTTCAACCTTCTCCTTACGAGATGTTGCTAATGAAGCTAAAACTGTTGTGAGAAGCCACGAGCCTGTTGAGCAGGCTTAGGTCTCCAGACTGATGGTGTTTCAGCTCCCTTACGTCTACGTACAGTAACGCTAAAACTGGTTCTTGATGGTGTTCCTTGCGCATTGAGTAGGTGAATATTTAGCTTCTGTGAGAACTTTCTCACAGTACACTAACAGCTGTGGATGGCAGGGAATAGCTGGGTATGTTGCTATCCTTTGTGTTGTTCTCACTATGCAGCATCAGCCTGATTCTGCTCATGGCTTTGATGGCATCAGTAACGTGCTCTTTGCTGCAGCAGATGCTTTAAGCTCTGCCAGGTCATGAATTAAGTACAGGTAAGAGTGCAAGAAGCCTGCCTCAGTCCTCTGGAATGAAATAGTTCCTTTGTGTATTCCCAATTATCCAGTCTCTTCTCAAAGCTGTAGTTTTAGGGGAGAGATTTATGCCTTGAGGGGTGCCACAGGACCGCTTGTGCGAGCTTGTGCAGCCGTGTCACTGAACGCCCTGGGGCCTCTGGTTTGCCACTGCTGCCTCCCATTTTTCCCCCCACCCCAGTGGCAGGGGGTTGGAACTAGGTGATCGTTAAGGTCTCCCTTCTAACCCAGACCAGTCTGTGATTCCTCCAAAACCCAAGCAAACCGTGATGCTCCTGCTGCACGTGGTGGCCGCAGTCGGAAGCGCGCATGGGAAGCCTGTGGCTTTCCGCAGAGCGCTGGCTGGTGACTCACTGGTGAGTGTGTTTGCAAGTTTGTGTGAACTACGTTGAATGGGCAAGTACGTGATAATACAGAATTCTTGGGAAATACCTACATCCTCCTTTGGCCTTATCACCGTTGTCATAGTACAGGAAGGTGCAAATAAAAGAGCAGTTTCTGTGCAGTGTTCGTCCCAGAGAGCGACTGCCTTATGAAGATACTTCATTAAGAAACTGAGGAATGTTCTCAGAGGAACACACGGTCTCTGGAGAAGCCAATGATGGCCATGGCAGTGGTGTGAAACGCAGCTGGATGTTCCTGGACGCAAACTCACAGCCTGCACAACTGTCCTCTCTGTTTTAAACATCTGGAGTTTTCTGTAACTGCAGTGAAATGCCGGTGAGGCTGTAGACGCTTGAAGGTATCTTAAATCCTTTTGTGGAACTTACATTTTCTGTTGGAAAATAGGGGAATTAAAAGTGAAAGATGTTTCGTCATTATTTTTGTGCTAATGCTTTACACGTAATTGTAGCTGAAGATACTATTAATTGTCAGTTTTCAAGGTAGGACTTCAAATAGAGTGAGAAAAAAGCATCAGTGTGATAGTGGGCACCTTGCTAATGATCTGCACCAACACAAGGTGTACCTGAGTTTCATTTCCCTGAGTAATTCTTACTAATTGATCTTAATCCTTTTATTTTCTCTTTTTAATTTGCAACATACTAATGAGGTTACTTCATAATGAATATTTATCTTCAAGCAAAAGAATCAGCTACTTTAATGTAGTTAAAGAACCACAGTTCTCTGCTTCTTTTCCCTCCCCTCCTTTCGTTTTCGAATGTAAATCAGTTTTGTAGTAGGAATCCTCTGGGAACTGACCCATTTTAAAGGCCATAAAATGTGGTCAACTTAAGTTAATGAGGATAACAGATAGTGTGTGAACGGGCATTGTAGCTCATATTTTTGGAGGCTGAGCAATCTATTGAATTAATAATAGGTCCATTTATCACTTAAGAAGATGGCCCAGAATTGCAGCGTGTCTCGGTGTACTGAAGTGTCCTCTCCCTTGTTCCTTGGTGCTTCCATTTTCTTCTTCAGATCTAAAAGTAAGATTTCAGAAGAGCAGCAAGGTATTTGGAGGTGGAAAATATTCTGTTGCTGGCAGGGACTGCGGAGTGAAATTGAGGGCAGGCCTGGGATCCTCGGGGAGTTTTACCTGGCAGCAAGTGCTGTGGGTAAAGTTGGCTGCATGGAAGCATTCTGCTGCTGCCAGTGTTAACAAAACAACACTCTTGACTAGAAACCAAACAATTATGACCCTAACCTGGATTTCTTATTACATATAGAGGGGAGATAGAGATGAGCTCTCGGGCAGCAGCTCTTCCCTGGGAGGGTGCTGAGGCGCTGGCACAGGGTGCCCAGAGAAGCTGTGGCTGCCCCATCCCTGGCAGTGTTCAAGGCCAGGTTGGACACAGGGGCTTGGAGCAACCTGCTCTAGTGGAAGGTGTCCCTGCCCGGGGCAGGGGGTCGGGACTGGGTGAGCCTTAAGGTCCCTTCCAACACAAACCCATTTGTGATTCTGTGTAGTTTGAGAGCAACATCATAGCTAACTAAAATCCACATTTTATGCTAGGGGATGTGATATTATGAAGGGCTTCTATATCCAGTGTCTTGCTACTTTTTCTGTTTAAAAGGATTGTTTTACTTCTGTGTCTGCCTGCATGCCTGGTGGTTTTTTACATCCTGGATTTACAGCAACTCTGCTGCTAGATGTCTGCTCATTGTCCCGTGCCTTTGCAAACAGATAGTAAAACTCTAGGGAAAAGCATGGTTGTCCCTTGCTAGGGGAACTTTCTGTTTCTGCTTTCTTTTTTGACAACACTGTGGAGTGAGATTCACTCTTCCTTTTCAACTATTATAGCTTTAGCCTATGTTGAAAATGTATATTTTCCTCTAAGGAATTAAAAATAACCCACCAGGCAAGCCCAGCTGCTCACACCTTCCTCTGACCTCAGACAGAGTTAGCTGTTTGGAACAAGTGCTGTGGAAAGTAGATGTGATCTTGCTTTTGTGATGGTTTAGATGCTTTGGTTACTGTCTTGTTCCTCTCTATTTTTCATTCTTTTAGACGTTTTGCATTTTGAATTTGAGATAATTTACCCAAGTATGTGAAGTGAGGGCTGCATAGGACTACATAGAGCTGCTCCTCCTGTTCCAGCACTGAAGTCTTTAGGATTTCAAGTGAAATTTGTACGTGTGTGGAATTAAAAACCATAAATCATTGAGCACATTAGAAACTCCTTTACAGTAAATGCATCGTAGAGAGCTCCTTGCCTGGCTGCAGCCTATTTGTATGTCTGTGCTGCTTCCTGCTAGGAGATACTTTTCCAAAACATCAGAAGGAAATGGGAAAGGATGAGACTGCTTTTTATAGAAAAGAAAAGGGATTGTAACTAGTGAGATAAAATGGTTTTATGTAGGCTTTTACCGACAAGATAAATTTACCTAATTCTTGATGTATAGTCACAACTAATATTTAACATCAAGATGTGAATCAAGTCCCAGTTATTTATTACAATCTGCTGGAAGCGATTTCAAGTCAGTATGCCATAGGTGAAGTAGCTATTTATAACAAGCTGGAATATTTAAAGTTGTTGAGCTCTGCCTGGTACCAGCAATAAGTTACACTTTTAAAAGTTACACCAATAAAAATAGGATATAATTCAGTGCCTTCACCAGACTGTAAATACTCAAGGAAATGGTAACTTCTGTGTTGAAGATACACTTGAAATGAGCAGCACTGAAGGCATGTTGCATGATGCGTGTGTGTGCAGGAGGGTTTCTGCTGGTGAGTGACATTGTTCAGAGGATACGTGGGGCTTTTTTACTTCAAAAAAAAAAAGAACTGCTTCCTGGAAGGAAGCTGTGGCCTCCGGCTCATTGTAATAACGTAGTTCTGAGACTCGCAGCGGTGGTGCTCCGAAACATCCCGAGCCGCTCGCTCGAGAGCACTTCAACTGCCCTGAACTTATGTTTGTGCCTTCCCCATGAGCTTCCTACGGCTCCATCGGCTCTCGGTGATATGGAAGAACTGGATGTTTAACCAGGAGCCTGAACATGTCTTCCAGGTGGAGAACTCGAAAGACAATGAGGAGAACATCTTGCAAAGAGAAGTCCCGCTCAGGCAGTCCCGCCGGAGGTTTAGGAAGATCAACCAGAGGGGCGAGCGTCAGACCATCACCGACAACGTGGACTCCAGCAGTTACCAGTCGGTGAGTCTGCTCTCCCTTGGCCAGCTGCCTTGGCATCATGTCCCTGCTTGGCTAGCAGCTTGTCTTACGGGGAAAAGCTGGTGAGATGAAATAGTCCACGTTTGGTGGTTTTGGGAACACTTTTCTCTTGTTGGGGAGCCGTAGGGTGCTCTGGATTCAAACGCCAAAGGTGGAAGTTAAGACTCAGCCGCTAGTTAGAAAAGAGGCTTTTTGTTTTTGGAGTTTTCAGTTGAGCGCTAGAAATAAACCTTAATGTATTGGCTGGACAGAGAAATGGTCATTTTTGGGTTGTGTTAGTTTTTTGTTCGTTTTACCTGGAGTTCTTTTGGTAAGATGTAAGAACTGGTTTTCTTTTTTGTCCTTAATAAGTTTGAACTGTGGTTTGGAATCGAATCAATCACAAATGCTGTTCAATTCGGTATTAACACTGTCCTCTTTGCTCATGTTTACTCGCTTAAAAATAGTACGGTGGTAATTCATGCATCAAAAAGAGTAACGGCAACTCACTGGCTACCCTTCAAACATCACAGACTCTACAGTCGGCGCTGTGTGAAGGCACGTACAGCTGTGGTTTCAGGGCCACAAGGCTTTTATGAAGGTTGCTCTTTACCATTATTTTTCACATATAAACTTCCTGCTTGGCAGCAGGAGATACCGATGTTCTTGACAAATTATTTCACTGAAAGTAGTTGTTCTGGATACTGTGATTTGCTTTGGGAATCAAAGTTTAACCCCCAGCCCTAATGCTGGAAGTACACAAACCCTGAGCAGTCTTCATGCATAGAAAAGAAAGAAACAAATTCAGAATTTCTCTGCTTTTTTTTTTTTCCCATCTTCCTTTTTGTCTCCCTGAAAGGTACAAAGCCTCTTAGTTGATACGCTTCAAAATACCTGATGGAATAGATATAAACTTAAAAGATTTCCTCTGCTTCAGGACAAACTGCTGTTTTACTGCATGTTGGTAGCTGTTGGGCCGCAGGTGGTGATTTTAGACTCCCCAGCATTAGCATGTCTGCTTACAACACAAAGCAACCTCTGCTCGCAGAGGAACACTTGTTGCTGTGACAGGAAGAGAATATGCTGCTTGAAGTCTAACCTCCTCTGCCACCTCAATTCCAGAACTGTCACATGGGCCAGATTTTATCGTTAGTAAGGCGTTGAATTAGTTATTGCTGAAATGAGATGTTAGATCCTCATACTCGGGGCAGTCGTGCACGAGGCTTTATTAGGACTGAAATTCCAGTCTGGGTATGACAAAATCTGTCTCTTTGGTGTTTGTGACAGTGAATAAGCACACAGAAAATAATTCTCAGATTTCAGTGCTAAGAGGAGGAGAGTCCCAGGAGCAGCGATGCTGATGGTACCTGTGCAACTTGCCTGGAGCGGCACGGGAGAAGAGACTCAGCATCTTCGGGTCTAAGAAGAACCAAGTTACATGACTTCTTGAATGATTTTAGAGGTTGTCAGTTATTGATGCAAGGAGTCAGTGTGGTACCCTCACAGGGTTGTGATCAGTCAACAAATGATGTCCTCATTAGGATTTGTCTTTATCTTGACTTACTCCTTTGTTACCAACAACATGGAAGCGCACACGTGCGCTCTGCACATTTGATGGCAAATGACATAAACATCATGAATCAACAGCACATTCCTATATCTGCTTTTATGTCAGTTAATTAGGAATGTCTAAAAAGAGGCCTGTTAACACTGCTAGGTGTTTTCCTGGATGAGTGAGTGCTAAGTGGCAAGGAGTAAACAACCTCCTCTCTGATGGAAAATCTGCAAGCTGTTGGGTTTTCAGCAGTCTGAACTGAAATCCCAGCCCTTGCTGTGTAGATTGTAAGCTTCTAATTGGAAAGTGTCATACTCACAGTACTTGGTGGAGCAAAAAGTAATTTGTAGCTCAACAGATGACTAAGAAATCGGAACACGATAACCAGCTGCCTCTTTGACAAGTAAATAAAAATCGGGTGCCTCTGTTTTTCCCATATTCCATTATAATCTGGTAAAATAATGAATTTTCCTGGTTTGTTCTGTGCCTTGGTTTAACTCTTACTCGCATGAGCCTGCTCGTATGTAGCCATCGGATCCCAATAATCTTGACAAACAGGCTTTGTAACGCAACCCTTCGTGTCAGCCCGTGTGGGAATGGGCAGGATGAGGACAAGGATTTTTGAATGAAACTTTCATTTGACAGGAACTTGCAGGAATGTTCCTGCCGGAGTGGGGGAAACTGTTGACAAACTCACCAGCAGATTTCCTCTCTGCTATAATGCTGCTGCTTCTCACAGGGAGCTCCCTGCTAGTTTACTGCTGGGACTCATCCTGGTGTTTTGCCATGGAGCAAAGATTTGTGTGCAGATACTTTAAGTAATACTTTAAATGATTGTTACCATCTTTGAAGCTCTTCCTTTCACTTACGTCCCTTACTTAAGAGCCCTAGTACGTACTTAAACTGTGTATCTTCAGGATAGCAGACTTTCTCATTGTTGTGGGTGTCTTCATTTATTTTCTTCTTTTTATATTCCCCTTAAATGATGTGAAAAATGGATCATCTGGTTGGTTTCTTTGGTGAAGGAGTTACCATTCAGACTCCTTTACTAGGCTTTTGTGGTTTGTAGAGCAGTGTCGTTTCACAAGAGCGCTGTTCTCCTGCAGAACAAGTATTTAAAGGTGTTTTTCCCAGTGAAGTACAGTGACCATATGCTGATGGTGTTCGTTCTTCCTCACACTTAACGGGTTTATGTTTCTCTTTATATCTTCAAAGCGCATAGTGACGTGAATCTGTTCTTGCAAGAGATACACAAGGAAGTATGTTAGACTCACTCCTGTTAGGAAGGTGAAGGGGCTGAGCTCTGGCTTCAATCCACAGGGGTGGACAGTAGCTGTGTCCAGGTTCTGCTGGTGCTGGGCTTTTCCCTTCTAGAGCCAGTGAGACCCCAAGGTAAAGGTGTGATTATTTTTGCTGAGTTGTCCCAAGTGATCGTGACCATAAAGGAGGTGCTTACACACCAACAGCCAGACTAACAACCAAGGAGAAGAATCTTTAATGGTGGTTCTGGTACTTTATAACAGTTAAACTGGTGCTTTGATCTTGGATCAAGTAATGGGGAAGTGAATGGTTCAAGTATTTATCTTCACAATTAAAAAATAAACCCTGAGACACTGTTGTTTTGCACTTAGATTTCTTGCAGTGATTGAAACCAAATGGGGTTTAACAGTTTGAGATGAATTTCTACTCAAATCCTTTTGATTTGAATAAGATATTTCTAATTTATTACCTACCTGTATTTTGGACAGTTCTCTCTGATATTTTTTTACATGAAGAATCTTTGTATTTCTAAAACCCATGTGTGATGCAATGTGTATTTCTATGGAGCTGTGACAGCATTTTGAATTTTTCCCATTGTTAGCTCATTGTCGAACAGAATAAAGCAGTTGGCACCAAACTTTTATAGTAATCCACTTTCTCAGAGATGCAAATTTACTTTTTTAAACCCTTGGAGGAGGATGATGGGGTTTAAAAGATTTATTATAATATTACGTTTTACGGACACTATCTTAATGCTCACATCATGTCAAAATTTTCCTGGAGCCTTGTAGCAGCATTTATCTTCAGAGAAGGCTGTCGCTGAGGACTGCTTGAGTGGCAAGTTTCTTGTTCTTTGATCATTACTTAATGTAATCCTGTCAGAGGCTGGAGTTAGTGTAGGGTAGCTCACAATTGCAGGAAGTTAAGTCACATTTCAATGCCCTGGATCAAACCCATTAGGTACTTTACCATCACTAATCCTTTCCCTTTTAAATGCTGTATAACACTGTGGGTCTTTATAATGTATTTTTAACTACCAGGTAGATTTGCTGAAATGGTACCTTTTATTGATCTAAACCAACAAAGACCAACTTACAGGATGCCTCCAGCTGCCTCTTGGTGAACTTGGATGCAGCATCGCTGGCATCTCTTTATTGGGATTAACTTTCACAAGGCTGTGGCCAAAATCACTTGTTCTTGAGCGGGAGGATGATGCTCTTCACAGCTCGCTGCTTTTCAATGTGTTTATGTCCACGCTTCCTCTTTCTGACACTTTCAGAAAATGCTTGAGAGAATCTTACCTTTATTAACTAACGCATCAGAAGAAACTTCGGGTGTTGCTGAAATCCACGGGTCCTGCTGCGTACTTGTGGGTACAGAAATCGATGTCACTGGTAGCTTTCTGGTGGTGTCGTGCGATGCAAAGAGATGATGGAAGTTCCTTCTTCCTGGTGCTGCTTTTACAACATGAGGTTTTCTCTGTTCTAACCCCCATTTTAAATATTGGGTGGCCTATTAACACAAGTTAACGTGCTCAAGAGCAGCAGCATTTGCAGAGCCTCCGGTCACAGGACAGGATCTCTGCAAAGCCCACGTGTGCTGGTGCTTGTTGCAGCTCTGCTCAACTCCTGCCATTTTAAGTGTTTTTCTTGTTTCTGCGATCAAAAAGAAGCTGCATCTGCAGCATGTTCACTTCCTGAGCAGGTGACTTAAGGTTTGTGGCTGCCCCATCCCTGGCAGTGTTCAAGACCAGGTTGGATGGGGCTTGGAGCAACCTGCTCCAGGGGAAGGTGTCCTTGCCCGTGGCAGGGGGTTGGAACTGGATGAGCTTTGAGGGCCCTTCCAGCACAAACCAGTCTGGGATTCTATGAATGTGCATGTCTGGAGCCCCTGGCTTTCTGCCAGGCTGGTCTTTGGGGTTGGAGAAGAGTCTGTGGCTGATGGAGCAGTTGAGCAGCTCTTAATAAATGATGTCAGAGGTGTCTGCTTCCCTGGCTAAACGCTGCTTCACCAGTGAAACTGGGGACAATGTCCAGCAGGGTCCTGCTAGTGTCCAGCTTGGGAACCAGCGCTTAGCATCTTCCCAGACAGTGCCCTCGCGCGCTTCCCTTGGCTCTTGGAAGCAAGGGGGGAACTGCCAAATGCAGGTTCACTCATACTTTATGTATTGATTTTGTCTGCTCATTTT